TTTAGGTCATTGATGATTTACATGATGTCTATTTTTAGAAAGCTGTTTTACTTGTTTTCCACAGCAGCTAAACCAAGAGTGTCTAAAGGGAGTGTCTCAGTGTAATTTGTCTTATGAGGGTTTTAGATGTCTAACCTGTTTCTAAAACTTCACGCTGGTGCAGTCTTTTATTTTTTTAGTCAATTGCCAGTGAGACCCTCTGTTTTTTCCCTGCCTTTGGCTGAAATCATTAACTAGTCTGTAGGTGCGTCATGTTGCAGTTTTATCTTTACACTGTTATTTCCATCATTTATCTAAATGTTTCCACTTCAGTTCGTTTGGTAAGACTGTCCAAAGTCCAGATGAAAGAAATGGGTGTGTTCAGAATGATTGTTAGGCAGAAACTGTCAGAATGGAAAGTGAAAGGAAGTTGCTACATGGTGTAATTCAAGGGACATTTCATTGCAGACTTGTCCTCCCGTACTTTTGCAGAGAACAACTCAAGCCTTAAGATGAAGTGTTCAAGATGTGGCCATAATGTTTTGGAGAAGACAGCCAAGTACTGCAGTGAGTGTGGCATGAAGTTGACTTTCCAACCTGCAAACGCACAGGGTGAGTAGTTTCATGTAGAAATGTGGTTTGATAATTTACAGTTATCTTCAACATTCAATTCATGGGGTCTTTATAAAGACTGTTTGTTAATACACCATACAATTTTATTTGGAGAACTCAAGTTTACTCTACATTAATATTGCCAGTTTTCCATAGAGGTCATAATGAGAAATGTAACGTGTGTGAAATAAACATGGTCATTAATTCATTCCTTCCTTCCTTCCTTCATTCATTGACATCAACGAAAATGTTGAAAAACATTAAAATCGTTCCCGGACCCATAACAGACATCTATCGAGTTAAATGAGCAAGCTTAGATATGTTGTTAGTAAAAAATGGTATCACTTTATATAAGGGAACACATATCAACCATTAACTAGTTGCTCATTAGCATGGATATTAGAGGCATAGTGGCTCTTTATCAATCATTATAAAGCACTTAATGCCTTATTCTTAATGACCTTATTCTGCAACTACTCCATTGATTAACAGTTTTCCCTTAATAACCTCCTAATTACT